CCCCCCCCCCCCCCTCCTTTGATTTTCGTCTCAGACTTCTTCTTTCCCGCCTTTGCACTTATGGAGGTCGTCGTTGACTCAGATTGTCCACCACTAACATCCTTTTGTTTGTCAAAAGAGGGAGCCGCCCCTGCATCTTGGAAAGCAGTAGAAAATGTGGCAGTTGTGGACGACTCAGATGACGTGGCATAAGATGACGTAGCAGAAGATGGCGTGGCAGCAGATGACATATCAGCAAATGGCTTGGCAGCAAATGGCTTTGTAGCAAATGGTTTGGCAACAAATGGTACCAGCAGGGGCATCTCGAAACTTTTCCCGCTGACTTTTAACGGCCATCCAGCAGGGACATCCCGCAAATTAGGAACCGGTACCGGTAGGGGCGTTGTCAGTGTGAATACCCTTACAAGGGTATCCGCCCTGGGTTTTTGCAAGTGACAGAAAATAAGTTTAGTTTAAAGTTTGAGTATACCTCGTGAGTCTTGGCAATGTCCGTTGTCTATGCGGGTGATGGCTGACTAGAATAAGAAGTGTGTGGGTGCGCGGATTTAAGGTGTGCGTGATCTTTTTATTTGTTGATGATTGAAGAGTTTGCGTGATCGTCGGCCATAATTTTTATTTTATTTTTCGACTAAGTTAGGATTAAAAAGATTATGTCTCGCTGATTGACGTGCCTGCCTGTGACCTATGCGTACGTGCGGAGAACGGCATCGACAACAATGTGACTTCTGAAAGCGTTTCAGGGGGTCGGCGCGTTGTGCTGTGTCCGTTTATTTAGGCGTCCGTTAGAGCTAAACCTGGACTTGGGCCTAACACTATTGGTTAGAGTGTCGGACTTTCATTGGAGAGATTCAAGAAGCAAGATGAAGTGGCGACAACATGGGAGCTCGGCGGGCCTATCTCCCTCGGTCGGCGACGCTGAAACGGTATTGGCGTTTTCCTTTTCTCGTCCGTCGTATGCTGACAGTTAAAAAGTTTTAAATATATTTTGTTATATTATTTTTATCTTTAGACCCCGACAGTTTCCTAATTCAGACGTGACGCCGGGTTTTATGGTCGTCACGCCAATCGAGGACCTTGAGTGCGCACCTCATCCGACGGGTCCGTGGTTTCAGGACGCTGGCAAAAGTCTGTTATTACACCGTAGCAGGGAAAAACTACGGCGTCGTCAGGGTCTGAGTTGTAATTGCACCAGAGGTAAAAAGGGTCGGCAATACGAATGGTATATAACCCACGTTCCGGGTCCGGTGAGGTCGCGTAGGGGTGCGTTGTATTCGCAGTATTGCCTGAAATGCGGCTGCAAACTCTCTTCGTGACGTCGAAGTTACCCCATTATAGTGTTTCGGGGAACTGCGTAGCAGCCACATTCGTGCTTAAGCCTCCAAAGAGGGAACATGTAAGGGTTGCACCCACTAACAGGGGCGATGCCTGTTATGACAAGTAGGTGATACCGGCCACAGGTGAGCCCGCAGCATCGGGGTCGGGACTCTCCAATAGGCAAGTCACTGTGCCTCCCCTCCAGTCCCTTGCGATAGGCGGCGGGGCTGAATGGGTAGGACTGCGTAGCAGGGGGGGGCGGGGGGGGGACTAACGGCATATCTCTAAACAACGGACTGTGGGGCCGCTACTGTCGGAGGGGACGATGGCCGGAGAAACAAGGCGGGGTGCCACAAAGCGAGGTGGAGCAGCGAGTTAAGGAGAGTAGTGGGGCGCAACGCTAATGATAAGCGAGCAGAGCGCGAGGTGACAAGGGAGACAAGCCGTAGTGTGGCCTGGCGCTAGGACCATGCGGACAAACGAGACACAGCGGGCAAGCCACTTCGTCTGATGTTGTCGGCCTAGGGAGGGAGAGGTCGAACGGATTAGGCGTTGCGGGATCAAGCACAGGAGGATGCGCTGTCGGGAGGTCGGGGCGTGCAACATGTGGGGGTGAATGAACCTGAACCGGAATCGCGTCCGGGTGCGTTCAGAGGTGAGGACGAAGGAGTCAGGCTATGACAGAAGGAGAAAGGGAATGAAGAGCGTTAGGCCCGCCCGATCCTTGATGAAAACGGGCGGGGAAAGAGTCAGGTCTAACATTTTGGCATAGGGCAAACTCGATGGTGCTGTTAGATTTATTGGTAGGTTAGTAGAACTAGAGCTAGCTGAGAATAGAGCTGCGCGAAGATGGTGATGGCGGAGGAGCGGAGAGGAGAGGAGCGAGCATATCTCATTCGTTTGTGAATGGATATGGGCAAGGAAGGAGTCGTAGTTGGGGGTTTCGGAGCTTGCGAGCCCATTTATGAGTTCAGTTTTGGTAAAAAGTTAGTAAAAAGGGGGTTAGTACAGAGAGATGGGGCGCCGAGATATGAAGAACGGATGAGGAAGAGAAGCGGGAAAGAGATTTTTCGCTCGATTCTCAATAGAATTGAGCGGGATAAAGTATTGAATGGGGGGTTTTGGTAGGTGCAAGTTAGATAATGAGGATAGTTTCTAGTGTCAGTGAATAGATTTAAGGATTCGATAGATAGGAGTTGCGCCCAAAAGAAGAGTGAGTTCGAAGTTTCATATATTTGGCTACTTTTTTTGCGATAAATTCATTTCGTTTTAATATATTTTGTTTTCCTTTTTTGTTGTTGTTGTTTGCCTATACTAATGTTTGGAAATAGCCTCCCTCGAACTCGAGGCGCAAGATATATGATCGGATTCTAACGAAGGAGCCATTAAGGAGAGAGGGAGAGCGACATAAGGGAACAAGGCAACAGGGAGTACGTACCTGGCCTCCCTTTCGGGGAGGAGTAACTTTCGTTTTGTGCATTACGGATTAAGGGAGTAGAGGCCGCATGCTGACCTGCTGCCAGATCCGTGGCTCAGCGTGTCGACAAAGAGTGGCTTTACCCTGGCTCTTTGTGTGGGCGATGGAAGGCAATGTATGTATCCATGATTCAAGAGGAGATTCGTCTTGACTTTGCCTAACTTACGGGGCGAGATACAAAAGGCAGGGTGTAGGCAGGGTACTCACCCTGAAGCCGGAACACTAATCTGTTCGACGAGACGAAGTAATAAGAGGACGACCTTAGAATCAAAGGATGGCTTACGAAGCGGTTTGCTGCAGCAGGAGGCAACTACGGAGTGGGAAACTCACCGGTTAGCAGAGGTACTACTCATCACGGAAACCAGAGTAAAAGGGGGCGGAGCAACGAGGCTGCAGATAGGCTGGTGCACAGATTAACCTGATGAGTAAGATAGCGAAAGTCCAACAGGAGGGGGCACTGGCCGGGGTTGGGTGAGAACTACACAGTCGAGGTCTGCGCACACGATTTGCATGCTACATGGCCAACAAGCTGTGTGAAAGAGAAAAGGTGAAGGTGTTTCGGAGCGCGAGTTGCGACGAGGGACTGAGTTGTTAAAAAGGAGGAGCGAATTGTCGAGCATCAAATGAAGCGTAGAGAAAGGGAGGGGGGGGGATTACCATTGCAATCTGGAGGATCGCCAGACTGTTGTCTGTTCTGTGTTTTCGCAGCGATCTGACTGTTATTGCTGCGAGTTTGGAGGGTCGTCAGAGAGTCAATAACCAACAATATGACTTCGGTTTTACTAACGGCTGCACGTATTGGCCATCATTGCGAGCCCCTAAGGAGAATCAAGATAACAAGGCCCTCTCCTGTGAGTCTGAGAGCACCATTCTTGGATCTGAGAGTCTCAAACCTATCTCTTCCTGCCCTTCTTACTCTAAGTCTATGCCTGATCTGAGGGGAAGAC